CAGATTGTGTATCATTGTCCGTGTGGTTACAAATGGAAGAAGTCTGGACTGTGGAATAATGAATGAACACCTCGTCTCATTCTGTGTCAACATTTGAACGTGATGTTGTACCATGGACCGTGTGAGTTTCCCACAGTCAGAGGCAGTTAACTCACTGGATCTGCTACATCACCAATCAGGCTGTAGGAGATTAAAAAGGCGTGCGTGTTCTTCTGACAGAACTGTCTGTGGTCTAATTAAAAAAGTGCTGAGGAGCAGGAAGTGCGGACGATGCTGTTCGCCTTTGTTTATGGACCGTGTTCAGGAGACGTCCAACAGTTCGTCTACCCCCACGTCTGTCCCGGGGTTGGACAACAGGCCATTTAATCTAGATGTTGTCTCTGACACAAGTGCTTATATAAAATGTCAGGACCTTTCACTGCCGTGATGATGACACAGTTGAGGGAAATGATACACGGAGCAGTCGTCGTCCTGATAAGGCTGGAAACGTCCACAACAATAATGTACAGCCTGGTCTGTTGGTCTGTTGACACCAGGCAATGATTTGTACATTTATACCAATACCAGACTTTCAAACGAGTGACAGGTCAATTTTGCAGCCTTACAACGACTGGGGCCGGTGGTGCAGACCCTATGTTGAGCTGCTGAGGGCCAACTGTCAGAGTGGATCACAGATTTGTTGTCTTATTCTTGTGCTGTGTTAGTGAACCTGATTCTAGGTCTGGTCTCAACACATCAACTGGGAAAGATCAGAATCAGCTGCAGAGAGTTAGTCTGCAGAGATAGGTCTAATAATCAAGTCTGGATCTGATTGAACATTTACACCACCGTAGAAACCAACACGTCGGCCTCATTATTCTCTGAAGATGAATCTGATTAAAACCTTTAACACATGAGTGGAAACACATGCACTGTATATTCAACCATCCCACCGTCAGTTCACTTGTCCTTGCTCTAATACACAGTCAATTCACTGTTATTATTTGAAAACACTGCCAACGCTTCAAATACTGATCCAGACTTCGACGACTGACCGTTGATCTGATTAATTCACAGCTGTGATTAATCTGATTGTGTTTTTATTCTACATATATTTTTTATTTAAAAACAACCGCTTTTAAGGTGGAAGTATATAAACAGGACAAACTCTACATCTTGTTCCACTGTTATATTTATCACATTGAAAAGTGATATTTAAAATATGTTTATTGATACGACATGAAAGCTTCCACAGTGAGAACATCATCTGCTTTAAGTGAGTTCATTTTACTGAAGATTTAGGGGAAAAATTATCTTTGTTCAACGTCTTATGGTCATGTTTGTTTGCTTTTCTTTTTGATTTTCATCAAATTCACTTTGTTTCCATCGTTAATGTCCCTTATGTTTAAGTCAGAAAAACAAAGGGAAATTTAAATCAAACTATTTTTCAACAGAGTGAACGACTGCGTCGACTGATTACCACAGATTATCATATGAACCTGAAGACAGAAAGTAGTAAACATGTAGTTCCTCAACATAATAACTGCAGTTTGGACCAACATGATTCAGTAAAACAGCACAAACATCCCAGGAAGCCGGTGAAATGACAATGGAGCTGCCGTTTGGGAGATGCTCTATAATCCAAGGACAGTGACTAATTACCTGCTTCTGGGGTTGGCAACGTTTAGGAATGGTCACTTTTTTTAGCTCACAATCAGCTGTGGGGCACAGACAAATTGTCCTCTGCTGGTCCACAGACTTTAAAAGTCAATAATTCAAAAATTCATTCTTAAAAAACACCTCTCTAAAAATATTACGATAAATATGTTGCTAAAGGAAAAGTGCCGTACAGTTAGATAGAAACAGACGAGTCAGAGCAGGGATACATCCACACGATGTCATGAGCTCCACCAACAGGTGGAGCTCATGACATCGTGTGATCATGTGTGGCTGTAACTGCCCAGTAATTGACCATCATTAGAGCTGAAGTGTTCATTCACTCGCTCAGAGAAAACAATGAGATCATCTACATAGATTTCTACGTGACACTGACCACGACGATGTCCAGCAACCTGGTTATTGAGCCGATTTATAGCACAGGGATAATCTCTGGTCCGATAAACCATCAGGATTCAGGCAGAGCTTCTGTCAGTGATTACAGCCAACAGACCGTGGTGAGTTAAAGCTGTTCTACCGACACTGGTCACATGACATGGAGCGTCATGGTAAAGATGGCCACTACCCCACTGGTGATAACACAGGATTCTATAATAAGCACAATAGGCTACAAGTGATGACGAGCTTTGGCCACTGAAACAATTCAGCTATGAGACAGACATGTAGAAGAAGACGATGATTTAATGTCCAGTTAAAGACAACGTCGACAGAGAGCTGCTCTGCATCTCCGTCCTCAGCCAGATTCTCTGGTCAGGATTGGTCAAACTCACGTTAGAATGAGGTCACACCTTCTCCTCTCAGCCTCAGTGGATGTCTGATATGGTACAAGGGATGATCTGAGTCTAATGAGGCACAGATACTGACAACCACTGGAGTTAACTGACAGACCAATCACCTTCAAGTACAGAACTGACTGAGCACTGAACCATCAAACCCAAACAAACAAAACAGTCAATAACTTTTCAGTTACTGTTGTCCAGGGAACATTTTTTAAACCATTACCAGTGTCAGTGTTAATATTTGTGTACTCACTGTGGCCAAGTACTACTATTATACTGCTACGAGTATAGTAGTAGTACTACATTATACTTTTCACTGGTCTGGATGACTGTTAACTGCTGAATGTTTTCATCCAATTTGATTAAAACAAATCATCATAAATGGATACAACAAATAACAAATCATATCAATAAATAACTTCCAGCATCATTAACACAGTCAGCTGAACAGAGAGAGAGTTTTTCACAGTTTTCTTCGACACAGCGGCCGTAACCACACGTTTGGCAAAGATCATTTTGAAACATTGGAAACACGGTGAACCCAGGAGAACCTCCACGGTGACGTCACTGCTCTGGTGGACGATGTAGGAAGTCTACGACGGTCTGAGGCGCTTGTTCATTAGAAACACTTTTCTAATTAATTTAGCTATTGTGCACTAATTACTCTTCTAGAGGATTCCTCCTTTAGACGTTGTTTTGACTCTGCTCATGTCTGACCTTTCTACAGCAGCTCTAGAAACACCATGTCTATGTGGTCCATCCCTTTGTAAGACGTCTACCATTTATCATCCTTTAGAAACACACACACCGATGCCTCAGTGAGGCCGAAGTTTTTCACTAAAACAAAAGCCAAAGATAATGTCACCTTTGAAAGGTATGGCAGAGAATTGACACCGTCAGAGTCTGACTCCACCTCAGCTGATGTATGTCTTCAGTTTGACTTCATGTTAGACATATGGGGGAACATACAGCCCTATTGATCTACTGTAAACCAACAATAACAACACACAATAACAAATGACATCAGAACTCAATTCATTAGACACAAAGACTACGTTCCTAATTATTAGTTGTGTAATTGTAGTACAAAACATATTAGTATCTCGCCTCACTGCAAAAACAAACGACCAACTTCAGTTCTACTGGTAATGGAAATGAACATTTCATGACTTTTCCAATTTGTTTGGTTTTATAAACGTCACGTATTTTTAACTTCACATCTATGGAATTATAATGACAGAAATACCCATGGACCCTACCATGACAGGATGAACGACCCTACTATGACAGGATGAACGACCCTACCATGACAGGATGAAGGACCCTACCATGACAGGATGAATGCCCCTACCATGACAGCATGAACGACCCTACCGTGACAGCATGAACGACCCTACCGTGACAGCATGAACGACCCTACCATGACAGGATGAAGGACCCTACCATGACAGGATGAACGCCCCTACCATGACAGGATGAACGACCCTACTATGACAGGATGAACGACCCTACCATGACAGGATGAACAACCCTACCATGACAGCATGAACGACCCTACCATGACAGGATGAACGACCCTTCCATGACAGCATGAATGACCCTACCATGACAGGATGAACGACCCTACTATGACAGGATGAACGACCCTACCATGACAGGATGAAGGACCCTACCATGACAGGATGAATGCCCCTACCATGACAGCATGAACGACCCTACCGTGACAGGATGAACGACCCTACCATGACAGGATGAAGGACCCTACCATGACAGGATGAACGCCCCTACCATGACAGCATGAACGACCCTACCGTGACAGGATGAACGACCCTACCATGACAGGATGAACGCCCCTACCATGACAGCATGAATGACCCTACCGTGACAGCATGAACGGACCCTCCTGTAACATTATTCCACATCATGAGGGTCCAGGAATGACCTGAACGATGCAGGCACCCCCTTGTGGCACCTCAGAATAAATCACCAGGACTGTAAGTCACGTTAAACGACACACACACTCACACTTACTAGTCATATGTGTGTGTGTGTGTGTGTATATATATATATATACATACATATATATACATATATATATATATATATATAACAGATATGTGTGTGTGTGTGTGTGTGTGTACGGAGTTACATAACGACTAGGCTCGTCATCCAGCTCGTGATGCTGTCCCGTTTAAAGCTGCTGAAACACTGATAAAAGCACATTATCTCCACGGCCTGATGAACACATTCGTGTAACAATTATAATAAAGTGCGTTATAAAAACTTTGTCGTCGTAAAGCCGAGTTACGGCAGGATCACCGTCCTACGTAGCGGCCGCTGCACTGGCCGACCCCCCGTCAGGCTGAGAGGGAAAGTGACCTATTGTTTGTTTACCACGGCCGCGGCAAAACAACACTCCTCCGTCCCGCACAAACACAACCAAAACAACCGCATTAGAAACCACCAAGTCCGCGCTGCGGGACTACGTGTGTAAGTGCGTGAAACTCTCCGCGAAGAGTGCGAGTGTGAGCGCGAGAAAAGTGTAGTTCGGTCGGCTGGTCTTACCTCAGGAGAACCGTGTCGCCCTGCCTGCTCACCACGTTCTCCACCGAGGAGTAGTCCTCCGTCTGTCCGGCGGGCAAACAGGACGGCAGGAAGCAGCAGAGGCTGAGGATGATCGCAGTGAGCCACTGACCGGAGGCACAAACATCCTGCACCGCAATCATTATGTCCATCACACGTTCGCGTTCTGCCGTCGCTTTTCCCAAAATACCGTATCGATCCTAAAGCACGACGACAGCGACTTGGCTTCGAATTCAAAAAAGTGTAAATGTGCAGGAGAACGACGCTGGTATTCCCACACTTTGCCTCTTCCTCGGAGCTCCCGCTAAGAAACGGTCCGCCGTGTAGTTTCCCCCGGTTCGTTGTGCTGGATGGAGAGCCCACTAGTGTGCAGGGAAGTGTACTTTCAGCAGCGGCTCTCACACCATCTAGTGAGGAAATGTGATGTAAAATGGGAGCAGAGCTAGAAGCACACAACCCCCAGGCTCTGATCCTGTTGCCATGCGGCCGTTTCCCGGGCAACCCTGTCCCGGAGATGGAACAGTAAAACGGGTAAGTATCGATACAACCCAGGAGCAATTAACGGTATCGACTGAAGAATCACCCTCGATTTGTCCCCCCTGAAGGAGCCGGGAAATCAGAGCAGGAGGTGAAAATGGAGCTGATTGACGGTGACGCAGGAGGAGTTTCTCTGTGTCTCCGACAACTGTGGCAACACGACTGCATTAAATGTTAGGGGAAAAACAAACATTAAAACATTACAAACAACAGTTTCATAATTTATACACCCAATTATTACATCTTTAAAAAAAAAACGTTTATACCTGGATTTCTGTAATAAAAACATCAACATCATTTAGAGAATTTATTTTGTGTTTTGTTTTTGGAGTTTCACTTGTCTCCACTTTTATTTATTTTTATTTCAGAAGTACATTTCAAAATAGAACCATTTAAAGTTTACCGTTATTTATACTGTAGGTTTCATTTCCTGTCATAACCTAATAGGTGGGGGGGGGGTGGGGGGGGTGCAACTAAAACATGACTGAACTACTGTTTAAAGGAAATGAAGCAGTAAAAGACCTGGAAAAGAACAGAACATGAGAAACCTAAAGCATTGTGGGATATGGTGTCATGGTAGGTGTACAGCACCTTTGAAAGGTGGAGCTCTTCACTATGGCAGCTCCAGGGTCAGCCAGTGACTGACCACAGACCTGTCTGTTGCTGGTCTGTAAACATGTACGCTGAACAACAGTCTGTACAGTTATCTGTTAAAACTCTAGGTTATTAAAGGTACAGCACCCCCTACAGGAAGAGGAGGCATTTACAGTTTTTACTGTTCTTTCTCTGTCTCTTGTCCTGCCCCCCCCCCCCCCACACACACCCACCCACACACACACACACACACACAGTATTTGTGAGTCTGTTCTGCTGCTCTAAGCCTCTGACTTAACCCACATTATTCTTCCCAGACTTCACTTCTTCAGACACAGAAGAGACTCACATTTTTCAGCGGTGACGTGTTGGACTGTGTGTGCGGTGAAGAACTGCAGCTGACACAGAGGTTTGGTGTAAATAAAAACATTCATCCAATAATGTACAATGACAGCCTTTGATCGTATCTGAAGTAATAAAATAGGCGTCCCTGCTCCTGGGTTACTGTGTTTGGTCCACATGACGTTTGTTATACCAGTCTTTTTATTTGGTGCTTTATTGCTGGTGTTAAGTCTCCACTTAGTTTATATCCTGAAATATCTTATCTCCTTTCCTTGGAGTGGGCCGTAAAATACAAAAACACTTTCTCCTGGGTTATTATTTTCACAGACAGGAACTGGGACAGAATTTTTTATTTAAGAAGCTCATCCCAGACCAGCAGATCTTCAGAGCAGATGGGTCAATACAGATCAATAATCCAGTCACACTGTAGTCAAATGACAGTTACATCTTTAACTATAACATGTCAGATTTAAAATTCAAAAAACATCAGTCACATTTACATTTTCCTACATTTTCTTTTTTTGTGTGTAATCCTTTTGAAATATCGTTAGATTATTTTTTCTTACAGACTTAATTTCATGTTAGTGAAGGCGCCCCCCCCCCAGGAGGGGAGCAGAGGGGCCCACTTTAATGTTTGACTCACAGTAACCCCAGGAATTATGCTCTTGTCTGAGGAGACCAGGTATTTAACTATCAGGGCATCTGAGCTGTGGAATAATGAACACCTCAGACATTTCCTGAGGTATTTTAAAGTTTTCATAATGAACTCCTTCCTGTGACCAGTGTGAAATCAATGCGAGCAATTGGTTTTAACGACGAGGGTGATTAAAATGACCTGATAAGATGTACAGTTCTCTGAGGAAAACGGGTTTCGTAAAGTCTCTTATCTCTGTCTTTATGGGTATAAAGCCATAAAAAAAACTGGATGGAATTGTTTGTGTTCTTACTGAGGCCAGCAGCAGCAGCAACAGTAACAGCAGCAGCAGCAGCAGGCGGAGCCACAAAACAAAA